CATATAATAAGGTATGTTAATAATATTTGATTTACTTGTTAATTTGCACAAATTTTGTTCATGGTAATTGTTTCTTGTACATTTAACAAGTTTTTTTTTAAAAATAACATATGCAGGATGTTGTAAAAGATACCATATAATAAGGTATGTTAATAATATTTGATTTGCTTGTTTATTTGCACAAATTTTGTTCATGGTAATTGTTTCTTGTACAATTAACAAGTTTTTTAAAAAATAACATATACAGGATGTTATAAAAGATACCATATAATAAGGTATGTTAATAATATTTGATTTACTTGTTTATTTGCACGAATTTTGGATTAATTGTTTTATTATGGCTTTTATTAAAAGGAAATATTATAAATATGCATTATTATTTCTTTTAATTTTAATTTGTAGAAGTTCTGTTCTGAAAAAAAATTATTTCTTGAAGAATTATATGTTTTGACATGGCTTTAATTATGTAAACAGTAAACAGTATGTAAACAGTATGTAATTGTATTTACAATAAAGAATGTATTATTAATATTACTATTATTATAATTAATTATTATAATTCATAAAATGAATATAAACGTATTTACCTTGTACCTACTTGTATTAATACGTAAATAATGAAAAACTACTTTTTATATTTCTGTAGCTGATTTTACAATCCTTTATAGAGCAATTCACCATTTAAATTTAAAAACAAAGCAAGTTTTTATATTCAAATAACTAAAAAAACTTAAAACAACATACGTATAATTAAATACAGAGACTAGCAGTACATCGGATGTACGCGTTTTATTTGTACATCGGCCTCCTTTTGACAGAGTAAGTGAGCTGTGTCCAGGCCGTTGGTTTTTATGCCGGTCAGCGTAGCCAGGTATGGATTGAAATTTTCTGGAGGCGGCGAAGCCGCCACCCTACGAGTAGTCGTTGCTTCGTCTTCTTGTTGTCACGGCATTATTATTATTTGTTCATGTATGTGAAATTTGCTTCTAAGGTTTATAAAATACTATAGAAAAATACTTAAGTCCTCCACTCCATCATCTGAAATAAAGTCAGGTTAGAATTATGATGTACAAATAATGGGGAGACATCAGTTGTACAAATATTTCGTGTACATCCGATGTACTGCTAGTCACGGCGATAATTAAAACTTAATAAAATAAACAATTCAACAAAATGACATTGACAACAAAATGTCAACTAGACTAATCTTTCTTCTAAACTGGTTCTGTAAAAGGTTTGTTTACCAGCGAGCACTCACAATACAATTAAGACAAAACACAAACATTTTATGTACTAGACAAAGAGAAAACATCTCCCAGTTCGACCCGCTTTTCATGAGCAGTCTGTAAACAATATAATGTCATACGACTGAAATTTTTTAAGAGCTGAATAAGAGTACCTTGCACACTATATCCCCTGTAGTAATGTCACTGGGGTTCAGGAAATGGCTTTGAGTTACGCTGCGGCCAGGCGCAGAGCTACATGGCGCTAGTATCGTTTTTAATTTCGACAGGTCTGACATCGGCACGTTCATTGGTTGAAGACAAAGTTTTTGACAAGCGCAGTAAAATGGATATGACTTCAGTTATCCTCGACTTTAAAATAAATTAAGTATTATAATTTTTCAAATAAAATATTTTATACAAGTGAGATGCACTACTACAGTACTTTGTCAGTTTGTTTGATGTTTGATATTTGCTATGAACCCAACTATAGTTAACACCAACTTTAAATATTTTTTTTCCTTGGTAAGTTATCAGGTAATATTATTACTATTGTAAATAAAGTTGTATTCAAAAACATTCAGAGGTGTTAATTTACATTTATTGTAATTTATTATATATCCTAAACACCAGCATAATATGATTAACACTTTTTTCTGTTTCTTGTTTACTTTTCTTTTACCACTAGAATATCATCTAAATAGATTATGCAACAAATACCGTTTAAACGAAGGTGAAAACAAAAGGTGCTGTTGAGAGGTCCATTGGCATTCATAAAGACAATCTATAAATTTAAGTCTTAAATATATTTTTGTTCTACTTGTCAGTCTTTTGAAATAGGTATCATATATTATTAGTTATAATATACGTTATTTAAGTCAACACTAGACATAAAACACCCCATTTTTATATATCTTTAACAGATTGATAATTTTTTTTAATTTGAAATGTGGAGGATCGAGTATAATTTTATTCAAATGTATCAAATTTAAAATTAAATAATGTGTACCATCCGGTTTCAAAACTAGAATAATTTGAGGCAAAATTTCTCCAGAGACATGTTTAAATTTTCTTATCACAATTTTCTTAATTAGTTTTAAAATAGCTACATCCCAAATTTTTGATTCCAAGTAGCTATAACTTCTAGGTTGACATTTATAAGTTTTAAGTGAAGCCTTTATAAAAGTTTTACTATACGCACTAGTGAAAAAAGTAAAACGTTATGCACTCCGTAGTGAGCATAATGTATGTACTTTACGCTCAGTAGTAGAAAAATAACTTAATAAGACACACAACAGCCCTTTAAAATTACAAAAAAATAAATTTTATTTTAAATTTTAAAATAGCTTAATTTCATCAGAAAGCTCTAAGGAATCAATATAATAAAAAAATACCCACCATACAATAATAAACATTGATAAGTTCAAGAAATTTAAATTTTCAATAAAAAAGTGGGTTTCCATTTAAAAATAAAAAATAAATTGCGATTTACTGTTGTTTTCGAAAAACCAGAAGTAAGCCATGATATCACAGACCAGTATTTGACATTATTTATTCCAAACATTCAAACAAAAAAGTTTTCATTCCGATATCTCAATTAATAAGGAAGATAAGAGCAGATTGAATTATTAAACGGTTTGCAATAACAAAAATCTTAGATACGCCACTGGCACACTGTCAATGGGTCTCAATGGGAACTTTGAAGCTTACAAAACTGTTATACATGCATATATTTTATATTACTAGTAACATGTTTAGAAAAAAATTACGGCTATTTTGACAGATGTCAGCAAATTTTCAATACACGATTATTATACAAAAATGGGTTTTAATTTAAAAATATATAAATAAATTGCGATTTTCTGTTATTTCCGGAAAAAAACGGAAGTAAGCCATGACGTTACAGAATAATTGAATTAAACCTAAGAAAATATGTGTTCCAGTCTTTCAAACAACAAAAAAATATTTTGATATCTCAATGAATAACGAAGATAAGGGGGGGTGGAACTTTTAAGTGGCCCACCTTGTATGTATTCCTGGTACATTGATTTATTAGCCATATGGCTATTTCACTGGTTTTACATAGATGTAATTTTATCTGGTTGGGAATATGACGAAAGTGATGCTGTCAGGTTTTTTATATTTCCTATATTGAGGATTTCACGCTTTTTCATCTATTTTAAAATGAATTTCTCTTATTTTACACCTATTTAGCGTCTTTACTTAAAATGTCTAATTTAAACAGATTGTTTTCCGTAATTTAATTTTTTTTAAAATTACTGTTCCTAAGGCATTCTCAACTTTTTTATACTTTTGCACACAGCATGTTTTAGTGGTTTTTTTTTATAACTTATCAAGTAAAGTATAATTATTTTAAAATTCAATTAATTAAGTACTTAATGAGATGAGTATTTCTATTTTCAAAGTACAATATAATTATTTTAAAATTTAGTTAATTAAGCACTTAGTGTCTCGATCTGAGTATTGACCTTAAGTGCTTCGTGACGAATCGTGAAGAATCATGACCTAAGGACTATGTTCAATACTTTAATTTTCCGATCTTCTTTGTTATATATAAAAAATAATACTTAACGAGTAGTTAAGCGATCTCATAAGGGCCATATGGGGGGCAGAGATTAAATAAAATCTATATCAAATACCGCTGTGTCTAAAGTCTTTTTATGTGTATTATATTTTTGCTTTTTGATTTTTTTTGGTCTTAATTTTATGGTGCATGTGTTGGTTTATAATTTTTCTTTTATAGTATTATGGAATTGTAAATAGGTAGAAATTAATATTTTCGGATTAAATTAAATATACTACTAAATATCTTGTCCTTTGCCTGGTACCATGCTGACGACTTACTGTGCCATCTATCGATCAATTTATTATTCTTTTTGGGTTCATGCATATGCCATATGATTTAATTTCTTACTTTTTCTAGATATATAGTATATTTAGTTATGGGTTCATCATAAGCTGTAATGTAATTTTGTCTTAAACCATTTAAATATTGTATTTTTAATAAGATAATTCTTGAACATTAATTTTGAATTTGTTTAACGACAAACATATTGGGAATATTTATAAAATTAGTTTCTTTGATAAAAATTTGTAGATTGTTAATTAGTGGGTAATTTGGGTAAATTATTTATAAAGGAATATAAGTTTAATGTTTGTCTTCTATTTCTTTCCTCATTTACTGGGTTTGTAGAGAAATAAGATCATATTTTGGCCATTATATGAACTCAGTTGGCAATTTTTAATTTGTATATCATTTCCTAGCTACCTATTGAGCGACGTCAAAGGCCCAAAGGTTGACACCGGCACAACCAAAACTTATGTAACCGAGTAGACATAATTTTTATCTGTAAATTTTTCTTCTAAAGTTCTATTTGAGTTAGTTTTCCCCACTAGAAGTTGTTTAGTGCATTCTGTAGGTTACACAGTGATGATTCTTCAACCCTTCTTGTGCAGGAATAATAGTGTAACTAACGTAGGATACTGGATTGTTGTAGCGTTTGGTAGGTATTATGGTTATCTCCTTATACACGCTCTTCTAGGACTATGCAATTCTATGGTAAAATTCCAGGGTCAAAACTATAAGTAAGTACCCATTTTCAGTAATAAGTCATTGTAAGCAAATATACTAATATTACAGGAGAATACAAAGATGGGCTACAGTGATTCGAAATATTTTCATACATGAATATGTTTATTAATAAAAAAAATCAAACTACAATTTAAAATCTAAAAAACATCAAAACTTTTCATCCCATCCTGATAGTTCTTCTGGAGGATTATCAGTATCCCTCTTAAAATGATCAAAGTAGATCGTATCTATAGGTCCTTTTAACTTTGGCTTAAACGGAGAAGATATTTCGCACCTAACCAACTTTTGCCAATCCAGCCCCAAAAACCACTTATGCACTTTTATATCATGAATTCCGTGTCTCTGCATTCCCAGCCGTTCCGATGGAACCGGTCTGCACAATTTTTCAATCAGATGTCTGGCCTTGAGGTGAATATAAGTTGGAAATTGAACAGTGTCGATTCCACTTAAAATTTTGTTGTATGTTCGCATATGGGTGCTATCGTCTGTTCTGAATGGTGTTCGACCTGCAAGCATTTCGAAAATAAAAGCTCCAAATGCCCAATAATCTACCGCCCTGTCGTGACCTCGATTTAAAACTATTTCTGGAGCTACGTACTCGGGAGTACCTGAAAAGATTTAAAACATTATTTAAAGAAATAAGAAGTATCTACAATTAAATATAGTTAAATATAAAGTGGCTACAATAGGTTCAGTACCCATGTCCAAGAATTTCTAATGAAAGCCTGAGTAAAGTTTCAGGTCCAGTTCCTATAAACAGCGGTCTATGAACTGTTGGTTTCAAAGTGGGCACTGGACAAAGATTTGCTAGGATTTGCACTGAAAATGTTTTTTATTTATCTAAAATTTTTGACTTTTAGATCTGCGATAAGCGTACAATAGTAACAGTGGGGTTTTGTGCAGATACTGCTCTGGGTAACGAACCTGTTAAAACCCGATCCATCGTTGAATGAAAAATTGATACTTATCTGTATTGGTTGTGTTTTTTTGAGAGAATATTAACGAAAGATGTATTAATTTGTAAACTTTACGGAATATGCAATTAAATATAATAACCAAGTATTAATTAAAAATTAAGAAAAGAGTGCAGTAAATAGAAGAGATGGCAGCTCCACGAGCCTCGCAAAGGATAAAAAGAGGAAAACCTCGATAAGTATGTGACAGAGCGAATGGGAGAGGACAAAGGAAACGACACAGTGAACGAAGGACTCATTCACATGAATGAGAGAAAAAACGGATTATTACCTAACAGATGCGTTTAGCGGGCATCGATCGTTCAAATCCTGGAACCTACCGAACAGAAAAATCGGCAGATGAACGGTGCATCAATTGCAGCGAATCAGACACTGTGGCACACACTCTGTATGAATGCGCAAGATGGATATTACTTAGGAAGGAAATGGAAGAACAACTGAGTATCTACTTACTACCGTAATCGGGAAAATAGCTATATACGAACGTTAATGAAAGAAAAAGAAAAAAGAACACCAGAGAAACTCTGCGGTTGAGTACCAACTGAGTGCGTTTCTTAGTGGTAGATAGGAAAATGACCAAGATTTTCCTGGTTAGTGGTAGTCATAAGTAGAGTGAAAGAGTCTAAAAACTTTCAAAATCTTTTGCGAAGGCTACCGCTGCGAACTCCTCCAATCTAATATATAAGGTAACGTTCTCACAGATGAATTGCTGCAGGGATAGATGCGACAACGAACGTTACTTTAGGGGCACCGGGCGACACCTCCAAGTAACCAGCCTTCTCCAGATAATAGGAAACTCTGTCAGGAGTAACAAATTTTTCTCTGCCTACTCGTGGGACTTATATGGATAATAAGGGTAACGAAAACAAAAAAAAAAAATAAAACTCGGGGCTATGATAAAACGGTAGTACAAGCGGGACCTCTGAGCGGGAGGGACTGGGCGGCGCATCATGCGTGTCAATAGATGTGGGAATGACGTAGGGCTCAGTTCTACCAGTACAGGGCGGACCTCTATACCAGTGAATGCTGGACCACGGAAAACCGTGGCAAGCATCTCATCCTGTCGCTTTCGAGATGGGACGGAAGGTGATCGCTTTAGGGATAACAAAAAATATAGCCAAAGCTGTGTCTAGCGAGCAGAAGCGAACCAGAGGGTCAACAGAAAAACCGATCCGATACTAGAATATCGGAAAAAGGAACGGCCAAAAGGACCAAAGAATCAAGAGCTGCAGTTTCTGGATCAACTGATAGATATCACATCTAATATGAGGCCAGATGGGACCAAGCCAATCGTGTTCTTATGCTTCAAAGGTGAAATATGTTGGGGTGGCTATTGTACCAATAGACTATCCCAATAATTTAATAACAACAGAGCAGGGAGACCTTATAAGGACTGCACTGCTCGAAAGACTGAAAGAACTAAATGAAGGATAACTTTCACCCAGGTTCTCCAAAGCTAGAATCAGAAACGGTAGCTTAAACAACGAAAGAAAACCGTAAAAACTATGGTTACTTGGGCAGGTGCTAAACTTAAAGTCATAGACTCTGGGGAAATAGTGAAACTCAAGTTTACTATGACATGGATACCGTTACCAGCAGTGGAAACAGAATGAATATTGAAGAGAATAAAAATACAAAATTAGGGGCTTCAACCGGAGAACTGAAGAGTGTCTGGAAGGAATTGTCGGTTTCAGCTGCTCCTGAAACTTCTTAGACAAAAGAAGCTTCCTCTGAGAGAGAACATATACCAAAGGAAAATCAGTTAGAACCATAAGAAAGTGGGGGGCCTAGAGAACCAATGATTGGGGCTCCAATAAAAATAGGGGCTTAGAATCCACAGCACAGCACAGCTAGGTGAAGACGAGGAGAGTTTGTAAACACTTTAACCTGGCCAAAAAGTCAGGGCACTAGGAATATTACAAGGCGTACCTGAGGAAATATGGTTATGCTATAAGGAAAGCTGGAAGAAATTCTGTGACGGCATTGAAAGCCTTCCAAAATATTCTAGACTCAGGAAAACTGGGGACCATTATTCTGATCCTAGGGTCACGGGCAATAGTCTTCCAGGCTGAAGTAACAGCAATAAATGTCTGCGCCAAATTTATGCTAAATAACTATTTTAGAGATAAGAGGAAGAGGGTCTTTATTATGACAGACAGTCAGGCACTGAAATGGGTATATATTTTATTGCCAACAGTCCTTTCAGGCAATGGCAGAATATAACAAGGTCCTCTTAAATGGGTGCCGGGACATGAGGGAGTGATGAGAAACAAAAAAATAGACCTCCTAGCCAGGAAGGGAACTGAGAAAACTCTAATTGGACCTAAACCTATATGTAGTATTTCATATCAACACGTTAAATGGGTGCTAAGGAAATATAAAAATAGAGAGCACTGGTTGGAACTTCCTGGACTTAGATAGTCCAAAATATTTATAGGGGGTATATCCAAGAGCAGACAAAATCATCTGCTAAACTTTATCAGGAGAAAAATAAAAGCCGTAATAGGACTCTCTACGAGACACTGCGGTCTTAGAAGACCCCTAAATCTCTTAAGGATATCTGATGACTTTCTATGTGAAGAGGAGGATAAATATTATGCCATATGCAATGGAAATGGGAAAAACACTTCGAGGCACACCCTCTGGAACTTAAAGAAATCAAGACAGAGCCCATTAGACATATTTTCAAATTAATCAAGAATATTAACCTGATGGATTAGAAACTGTGAGGTACAATAAGCCTAGAGCTTTAGTACGAGTAGGATTTAGATAAATAGACACCAGAGAAATGATTATTAGGTTCAAGATAACCTGATATCCAGATGGTATGCTAGCAGCAGTTCCTAAATACCGGAGGCAAATAGAGGTGAAGAATTTCTTCGAATAGAAAACTGTTTCAATCATATGAGATTAAAAATATATATCCAAATCCATTGTATTTACCTGCGAAAGTATAGGTCTTTCCACGGCCAGAAATTTTTTTCGCAAATCCAAAGTCTGTTAATTTGATGTAACCATTACTAGCAATTAATAAATTTTCTGGTTTTAGATCGCGATAAACAATTCCTCTGGAATGAAGATAATCGAACGCTTCTAGAACACAAGAACATATGAAACGTGCTTCTTTTTCTTCGAATCTTCTATTTTTCTGTTTTTGTAATAAACTCCAAAGGTCACCACCTAAAAATATGCATAAATATAAATAATTTAGAACTAGAAAACGGAAAACATTGAAATAATATTTAATTTGTACGTATCGAACCGTGATCATCAACCACAGCTCGGCATTGACATTTTGGCATACAGATTCGGCTTAGCTTAAATTTTTCTTGGGTATAGTGCAAATAGAGCAACAGAAAAAGAATATTCATATGAAGTGGGAATAAAAGGGAACAAAAAAACAGAAAAAGCTCTGACAACTACTGGTTACAACTCAGCATAGTCAGCATGTTGAGCAGATAGACCTTCAATTGTTCAATTTTCCAAAATATTATGTGAAGTCCTGTTTCATATCTAGCTTAAGCATATAACTGTTCTATGAGGACTTCGCGTGAACGATGATCGCCATCTTGTACTTTATAATATTATCTGGTTAGGTTGGATGCTGTTCTTCGTGGCTGTTAACCACAATGTTCATTGACTGACGACATTGGCAGTTGACAACAATGAAGACAGATGAGCGGCTGTTTACGAGGACTACACGTAAACGATGGCGGCAATCTTTTACTGTATAGGCCAAGTTTAAGTTAAGTGTATCGCGTATCGCAAAAAAAACAATGATTGTCTAAAGCTTAGTAATTTCTAATAATGTATAGTCTTCTGAAGAAGATGGAAAATCAGGTTACCGCGGTGTTTAATACACCAAATAAGGCGACTTTTATTAAAAAAATAAAAAAATTTTGTTTGAAAAGATATTGAAAATATCTTTCAAACGAAAAAAATCGTATAACTAATAAAAATAATAATTAAAAATAGGTCGACGTTATAGAAAAAATTAGAAAAATTTACCTAAACAGGATTCCATCAGGAAGTATATATATTTCGTATCCCTATAGGTTCTGTATAGCCTAACAATAAAAGGCGACCTGCTGGCCATCTGAATAATCTTCTCATTATAAACATGTTCTTGCTGATTTTGATTGACAACCTCAATTTTTTTTAAATATTTAAGGGCGAACACGAGACTTTCAATTTTAGTATGTTGCACCAATTCTACTCGTCCAAATCCTCCTACTCCCAGAGTCTTTATAATCCTCAGATCCTTTAGTTTAATATCTTCATGTTCTGCTTGCACAGACCTTATGGAATCCTTAGGCGATTCCTTAACTTTTATATATTTGAATTTTTTTATTTCTCCAAGATGGTTGATGAATTCTTTTCTGGCTAGAGTAAGGCATTCTACTCCAGGAGCATTAGCTGTGACGGTAGCTTGACGAGCGTCTTCTTCTAAGAGGGCTAGTTCACCGAAACAGTCTCCTTTTTTATAAACACCAACTACGCCTTCGCCTTCTTTAGTTATTGTAACCGTTCCTGCTCTAATTATGTAGAATTTGTTTCCTAGAAGACGTAACATATATTTTTATAATTATTTTAGAGTTTGAAGACATATAATTTCTAATAGATATTTGTAAAATAAAAAAATGCAAAAAAACATATAAACGTTAACTGATAAGCGTATCAAAGCATCAAATAAAGCAGACGGGTCTAGAGAGGGACGATTTCTGTTATAAATTATTACTACTGTGTAACAAAATTAAATATTTGGTGATAAAGTCAAGATTACTGTTTAATATATCGCACAATAGTTTATTAATTTCAAAATTTTAATCTTTCGACGACGAAGAGTGCAGCATCGTAGCTTATACCATTTCATCATCATTTGAAACATATCAAAGACAGTCCTGTGCTCGCGAGCCCAGGTGTTCATTATTAGCAGCGGTAAACAAATAGGTACGTGACAATAGTCGCATTCGCCAAGCCACATCGGCGCGAACACCAAAGACTAACTAGCTTAGATCACGCAGTCGTATATGTATCTTTCTTCAAAACGACACAAAACTGCAGACAAGTCTGTGCTTCGACAGAAGTCAGATGTGCTCTCATTAACATCATGACAATTCTTTTCTGTTATATAACTCACTTAAGTTCTCTGAGCAAAGATAATAATACATAAAATAAAATGTGAAATGTGTAGTTGTTAAAATAATGTAAATATGTACAAATTTTTGCAGAATAAATTGTTTTTTACAGAGTCCATATGGAGATGGTTACAGCTAGCACCGAGAGGAGAGAGTCCATTTGGTAAGCGCACTTTAGAACCTTATTTATAATTTAATAACCTACAAATCCAACATTAATAAAGTTGTTATTATTAACATTTACAATTTCATAACTATGTTTTTGGCTCTCCTGTAAAATTATACTTTTAATAGTCATTACACTATTGCTGGAGAGGTGCGAAGTGTTACTGACATGGTTTTGATTGTCATTTTAAACAATATTTTCCAATTAGAAATTTTAAAGACGATTTTTAAAACATATTCTTCAATTACTATCATTTATAATATGAGATGTATTAAATAGAACATAAATAAACATAGGGTAGATAGGGGTAAAATGGGGACGCTAAGTATTTAGATCGATAAAAATGGAACCAAACAATCAAAAAATAAAGTTTATTCTGAAAAGTATTTTTACAACAAACATAATCAATTTGGCATACTAATAATCAGCTTCACTAAAACTAGTAAACTGAAAAGAGCATTTATTTAAAATAGCAACAAATCCCATCTTGCACCCATGTACGGGGCAAGATAGGGAACTTCTCGGGCTAAGATGAGGTTATAGCTTTATTTATAAACATCACATGTACATCCAATTTCTGCAGGTTCATCTTCGTCTACTCCTGCACAGGAATTGTGGGACCACTTGTGACATTCTTGACACGCAACCCATCCTTCGGCGGACTCTAAATATTTGTCACCACATTTGTCACAAACATTCTGTGTCATCTTCATCTCTGTTTAGAAGAACATCTTGTGCTTCCATCGTCTTCTTTTGAACCTGTGTTTTTTTCTCACTCATTTTTTGTTTTTTTTTCACTATGGATGGTCCTTTTTTGACATCTTCAAATTTTCTTTTATGGGGCGTGGAGGTAATGATTGCCGTCTTGCCTTTTTATTGTCTACAGTTGGAACAGGCATTATCTGAGATGGGGTACATTTTTCAAAGTTGCTGTTTAAGTCACAGCAAACTTTTTTATAGGAGAAGACAAGCGAACAGTTTTGCATGGAGAGTCACAAGGTGGAGTCCTTTCCAACAGAGTTTTATGTAGTGGACTGCGATGCGACATTGCAAGCATACTCAAAGGAAGATTTTCCTCCTCATCTTCATCTGAACTTTGGTATCTAGTAGAGGGAAGCTGATGAAAGTTGCTAGACGGAAGAACCTAATTCACTGACATGTTTGGCGTAGAAAGCTGATGGGAGCTTGTAGGTATGTTGTTGTTAACTTGGTTTGGCTGAGCGTCTTTAATGATTTCATGAGATATAGTAGCAACAATTTCAGGATTTTCAGTAGCACATGGAGGATGAACTTTTTCATTTTCGATAAGGTTTATGTCTCGGTTTATGTTTGTTGTTTCTGCAGCAAGAAAATCAGCATCAATGAAGTTCTCGGAATTAAATGGCCATATTCTAATTTGCGGAATCCGTTGATAGCTGTAGTCATAGAAGCGGCTTGTATAAAGGCTTTTCCGAAAATTTCGCTTAATTGAAACATACTGATAACTCTACCAGGATTTGACCTGAGCCAAGCTGTTGCTGCTTGGTTGTAGTATACGCTCAGGGGCTTCATAAAAGACACGTCGATTGGCTGAAGCCTATGCGTACAGTTTGGTGGGAAACAAATTATAATGACACCGTTGTCCCTAGCAATGTCTTTGAGTTCGATGTTCTTGGTATATGTAATGTGACCGTCGACTGAAAGCAGCACCTTGCTCACCCCACTGAACTGGATGAAACTTCTGAACCATGTGACGAATAGGTCTGTTGTCATCCATCCTTTTTCATTGCAATAAGCAGTTGTACCGGTTGCCGAGTTATTCAATAATTCAGCTTTCATGCGTTTCCAAGGGAACAGTGGCATTGGTGGCATGTAGCTTCCTGCAGTGCTAACACAAATTTCGACGGTAACTACATATTTATCCCCGTTCAGCTGAGGATAACGATCCCACTTGCTTCTTACTTTTCCGTGAAATAATCTTGGACCCTGTTTTCGAACAGACAAGACACCCGTTTCATTGCAGTTGTAGATCCTCTCAGGTCAGACTTTATTAAAGCCCATAGCCCTGGCAGCTGAAGTCACTTCGAGTTTTCGTATAGACAAGCCCTTATGGCGTCGAAGAAATCCTTGAAGCCAGTCGTTACCAGCGAGTTTGGCTGTTGTTCAGTTTCTTGATAGAACCCCCATAATTCTCAAAAATCCCTCCTATGAAAAATGACTAATTGAATTTATGTTTTTTGTCATTTTTTACTGCTAGTTGGTAGGCTAAACTCCATTATTATCAGTCCGAATAATCTAGCCTCCATGTCTTTTAAATATTTCACTAGTTTAGCTTCTTTATTTTCACTGAAAACTGATGTTATTTTGCTTGACGGTAAATCCAAACACATTTGGCCTTTAGATTAGTCTTTTTTTTTCATTTAGTTGCGTAAAAAAGTTTTTATCCTCTTTAACATAGAGAAACATCTTTACGTAATTTAATAGTTTCTTGAAAAGTGTACTTCATATCTTCCTGCGAAACTAATGATAACATAGGAATGGCTCCAGAAATGGTTTGCAACTCTTCTCTTTCGTAAAGTACTTGCAGTTGTGTTTTTAGACGATTTTTTTCTAGAAATTGATATGCGTTAATTGTATCAGAGAGCAATTGATCAGAAAAGTTTTTTGGTATTCGATAAAATGTTCTTTCATGAATAATGCGGTAGCTATCAGATGTCCTGTGACAGTGAAGCGTGTCCTAATCTGTTGTATAATGGAATCGCAAACTTCCAAGGCTTCTATTATTCTATTTGTTGAAACAGATGGATCGGAACGAGTGTAACGTCGCCTTTTCTAAGGAACAAGTTCATCTTCGGTTTTCAAAAGCTCCGAGTCTATTTTGTCAATAATTTTATCCATTTCATTACGATTTTTTTGCACTGCATTTTCAAAGTTTTTAAGATCTTGTTTAGCCTTGATAGGATCGGTATTAATCGTCTGCAGTTGCTTAAAAATTATTTCGACATGTGGCATGACTTTATAAAAAACTGTTAACCAAAATATGAAATCTCTGTCCTGTAATCTAAGTTTATAAGCACCGGCTTGCTCAATCGTAGAATTTAATTTAATATCTTTGTCGTTCTCTAAAATATTCATAACGTGTCAGTTCATTTTGGTATCCATAAACTGTATTAACTCCCCGTGATTGGAAATTCCATCTCGTTTGTCATAAGCGTGGTAATCGTCTATGAACTATATCATCCAATACTTTTGTTCTTTGAGGTGAAAAAAAAGCACACATTCCAGTTAAATGAGCGAAAAAAATCCCAACAGATGCATTAATTGAACCTGCACTGCTCATTATAAGGTTAATATGATGTGTATAGCAATGAACATAATTTGGTAAAAAATGTTCATCCTTAATTATTTTTTGTACCCCATTCATACATCCGCTCATGACTGACGTTCCGTCGTAACTCTACGCGATCAACTTATTTGGTGTGTCATTAATTAATGGATTAATTTCATTTAAAATGCAATTTGCTATTGAAATGGCATTGTGTACGGGAGGATTACAAATTTCCAAAATCTTTCTACTGGCTTACTGGAGGCAATGTATCGCAAAATAATGATCAATTGAAATTTGTTAGCAACATCGGTAGTTTCGTCAGCAATTACAGCTACATAATTAGTTTCTTTTATTTCTTTAGCCACTTCTTCATGGTAAACGCCAAGCATGCAGTCCAATAGTTCGTTCTGTATGGTCTTAGTGGTCCCATTAAATATTGTTGCTTTGTTGAAATGTTTCCTTAAATCTGCATCTAATTCAGAACTAAAATCTATCAATTCTCAAAACACTCGTTTATTTTTGGATTCTTCGGTTTCATCATGTCCGCGCAATGCTAATTCTAATCCACTACAAAATCTAATACAGTTAATAATGATGTTTAAAATATATCTGTTTTTATCAACTTGTTTATTGTGGGTAATAATATTTTGTCTATAAGCTGAATTTAATTGAGTCAGTATATTTGATTTTCCAAGCAAAGAATAACTAAAAATATTTACATGGGCCTTACTGTTTTCATGTGTTCTAATTTTCTCATAAATGTGTACCATGCATCGTCCACGAAGAATCGCCCCCGAACAAAACACACACAAAACAAAAAAATGCGTTTTTTCATCACATCCACAAATCCAGTTATTTTTTAAGTACAAAATCCGCTTAAACTTTTTTATCCGGCCTTTGAAGTTTGACGAACTTTTGCGTTTTTGTTAGAGGTCTCCCAAGTTCCTTTATTAGGATTTTTCCTCGAGCGAGTACGTAGAAAAAGGTTTCAGTAACAGATTGCTTATTTTATTCATTTTGCCTCGGATTCTCAGACGATTTTCAATTTATTATACTTTAAAAAATCAACTATTCTAACTAAGTAACAAACAAAAATTCAACACGCATAAAATGTCAAAAGCAATACTCCGAACTCGCCGAACACGAAACAATACTATTCTAACTATTCATTCCGAGCCGCTTGAAACGTGGCCCCGTTTGAATCTACAAGAAGCGCTTTCTACAGGCGAATGGCGTGACCTTTAATAAACTTTTATATTGGATTGATATGTAAGCAGCCGGGCCACTGGTTGATGTGCTCGGATAGACGGCGGATAGTCAATTGCTTGAATTATTAAATTTGTTGTATCTAGGAATAATACGACGCAAGTTTTTTCAACGGGATCAAATTAAATAATGATAAATAATTTATATAATGTATCGTTTAGCCATAATTTGATCCGACAATTTTATTATTTATTGTAATTAATATAAAAAGAAATATTTTTAGAGACCGAAATATTTACAAATTTTGCGCCAGTGCCAAGGTCCTTTGGCACCTTAGGACAAGCCGCCACTGCCACGAGCCATATGCTTTTGTACAAGTTTTTATTCGCTAAATATCTATTAGAGATTCATTAACTTTTATATATTGAATAAAAATATAAATACCTCTGTCGCCTTGTTTAACAATTACTTGTCCAGATTTAAAGAACTCGGACTTCAACAAGTTAGCAACAATTTGAAGGGCTTCGTTTCCGACCACGTTCAAGATCTCGTTGCTTATCAAAAAGTTCATTAATTCGTCCTGTTTCCTCATGTTATGTCTGATCATGATCTTTTGATAAACGCTATTGTCTAGGACCCACACCCTACCAGAGGTTGCGGCTTTAATTGTAGCTTGTCTTTTTGCATTATACAAAAGAGCAAGTTCCCCAAACACTCTGTAAATGATACAAAATTGTTATTATTATTAAAATTCTGATACCAACAATAAAGAAGAGTGTTATTCTGAGATAAATATGCACCAATAATGATTCACCTACATTTTTATGAGCTGCCATTAAGGTCTAATCAAACAAAAAAAAAAAAACACACTGAGTAATAATTGAGAAAAAGTAATAAATTTCGATAAAAAAATGCGTACTTACCTACAGTCATTAAATTCAGTAATAACCTTTCCATCTACGATTATGTGGAATGTTCCTTTTGCCGAGACATACATGTGAGAACCTTTATCGCCTTGTTTAACGATAATGTGTTTTGACGGTATTTCTTTATCGTACATTGCTGCAACAACATCTTTGATCTGTTCTTCTGAAATTATTTGGTTAAGGAAATCGTTGTTCTTGATAGCTAGCTTTATGAGTTCTTCGTCCCTAAAAGAAACGGAATTATAAATAGCTTAAATATTTTGTTTAAATAACTACGTCTTAAAATTAAAATTAATTAAATTAATCCACGGTAAAAATGATTTTATTGATTGGGATTTCAATAATTAGTGACCTCTCTAAAATTCAGAAGAGAAAACTAAAAACTCATTCATAAAGTGTTAATTGAAAATGTTAAATAAAATCTTACTAGAGGTTCTGCAGGAAAAAAATTAAAGCCAAGAACTGAAGAAGCTGCACACGAAACGAAGAGCCTCTATATAGAAGAAAACTGAATCAATGAAAACAAAAATTTAAAAAACCAACTACGATTTATTGAGCAAAAACTAGAAGATATACTACAAGAGCCCTCAGAGGATTTAGACAAAATAAGGTGGGCTAATAAAGTGGGCTAGCGAAAAAGATAGCATATACATAGGAAGAAACATTTGAAAATTTCCAAAGTAAACACCGCACAAAAATTATCGCATCACTAATATTTCTAAATATTTTGGCCATGTACTTTTTTAAAAATATTTTTTTTTGGTTTAATTTATATTGAACCTTTGTAATTACATAAATCATAAAAACATTTCTCATTTTAAATCAATAGGTACAGGGTAAATAAAGAATATCAAAAATGGACATAATAGAATTTATATTGCCTTCGTTACAAAAAATAAATTCTTCGAAAAATGTGAAATTTTTTGAAAAATACAATTTTCTTAGTATCTTGTATTGCCTCCTCTTGCCCTTATCACAGCCTCCATTCGCCTTGGTAAGCTTTCAAACAACCTATGTAAGTATTCTTGCTCCATGTTGTTCCATATTTCGTTTTTTGCATGTTGAAGCTCATTAAGGGTTCTAAATGGAGCTTGACGGTGCTGGATCCCCCAACTTAGGTGGTCCCATACGTGCTCTATCGCATTGAGGTCTGGGCTGCGAGCTGGCCAATTCAATGTAGCAATATTTACCTCCTCAAGATATTCCCGCACTATCCCGGCAGCGTACGGTCGCGCGTTATCGTGCATTACCACAAAATTTTCGCCAATAAAAGCGCTGTATGGAACCACATGAGATTATAGAATATCCATTATGTATCGGTCAGCCGTCATCCTACCACCATCAACAGCTACTAACTCCGTTCGTCCATAAAAAGATATTCCTTTCCATACCATTATTGACGCACCTCCAAAACTTTCCCTTTCACGAAAGTTGTATTGGTAATGTCGCTCGCCTGGTCTTCGGTATACTGGCATACGTCTGTCCGAAGAGAACAAACAAAATCTGGACTCGTCTGCAAAGAGAATATTAGACCATTCTTCTACACCCCATCCAGCATGGTCTCTAGCAAATTGTAAACGGCAAACTCAATGTTGTCTGGTAAGACGCGGGCAATTGGCTGGAACCTTTACACATATATCATGCTCTCGAAGACGATTACGTACGGTTTGTACGCAAATCTGAATATTCCAGGCAGCTAAAAGGTCATTCTAGAGCATTCGAGCAGTGCAGTGTCGTGTTCTTAGGGCTGAAAGTCGTAAAAAACGATCATCTAAAGCTGTTGTATCTCTAGGACGACGTTGGCACTCTCTTCTAGAGGACCGTCCGCCTTTAAACAACTCTTGAAATGGTACTCTGTTGTACACCCAATAAATCTGCCACGTACCTTCGACTTCGCCCATCTTCAATCAACGCAATTACTCTGACGGCCTCTTCATCTGTCAAATGGCGAGTTAAACGTTGTGCCAGCCATAATGTACACCTTTATCGTACAACTTAATATCAAAGCAGAAAACACAGAAATGAACAGCATAATTGCAAAGTGGAATGTGTGCCTATCCGCATTCTCCCGAAAAAAAGTAAACAAGAACCTAACAAAAGTTTTTTGACTCGAGTTTATCAGTAAAGAATGCCCATTCAGGGAATACTTAAGAATTTTTAAAAATAAATTTACTGTGGCCAAAATATTTAAAAGCATTGGTGATGCGATAATTTTTGTGCGGTGTGTATTAGAGAAGAAGATTGGACCATCGGAACATGTCCTAAAGTGAAATCCGTACAAGAATGCCCCATCCAAATATTTAACATAGTCCTACCCAGTAACGAAAACTTGGAGACGAATAAAAAAAATATGAAGATGAGTTTATTAAAACTTAGAAGATAAAAGAGAGAGGTCGCTAAAATGATGTATTTCCTATGATATCCTGATGTATATGGAAACTTTACTTAAAAGTCTAGAGGTATATATTATCCAATCATCAACAGCCAGACAAACATAGATACCGATGACCAAAGTGCATTTATGGCCATGAAGATAGTCAAACTGTTGCAGCAAGTAGACTTAAGATTGCAATTCTCAAACTAGATGGAATAAGTGGAACATTTCTAACAAGGATGGAAATGGCCATGAATAACGGAAATGAAAATGTCAAGAACACAGAGCGAAACAGGTTTCAATTGACAGTTTCACATAGATATACTAGAACCACAAACGATGATGTATTTTTGGACACCCAGAGCGCCATGCCTAGGTATGAGCCGATAGTATTCAAAATGACAAACAAATCTTATACAGAGCTGTTGCAAAGAAACCGTAAAACTAGACGAGATTGAAGTAGACGTAAAGTCCATCAAGAAATTCTGTTACTAGTGGAAGATGGACCGGAGAAGCCAGAAATCCTACAGAAGGAAAAAAGTAAACTCCCGGGTGTGACATCATCCTATATTAAAAATAATAATGTTGTACTCATCAAGAATCTTGATGGAGCTGCCGCAGAAGTAGAGATTGCCTGCGACCAAGGTTTAATTTTCATTTTTTATTTTCACTTTTCAATACATTGATTCTCTGAAAATTTATTTAAGTGTACCTGAAGATGAACTAACCTACTTCATACTCATTACTTTATCTTTTGTGAAAAAATAGTAGTTTTAGCAACAAGAGTGGATATGATGTCCATATCGCACTAAGACAAAGTTTTAGCACGACTGTTTCTATCTTTGTTCTACTGTTCTTCTGTTTTAGGCATGAAATTTACTGTTTTCGTTAACTTGACAAATTTTATTCTTAATTTCTAACATTTGCCGCGTTATTCAGCAAACGTACAAAGGATATTTTCTCAAGTAAATTTGCCGAACTTAAATAAGCTTAATAAGTTGAACACAGACAGTATTTTGTAGGTTTGCACAACACACAAAATATTTAACTTCCAGAGAATCATCATGTTTTGATTTAAAATGCAACAAAAAATTAATAGTGTATCATAATAAGAATATGTATGACAAACACAACATATTTAAATTATCTGAAAGAAATAGGTACCTACTATTTTTCATTTATTTTTTTTTCTCCTGACATTAAGTTTTACAAATTTTATTTATTTTATTATTTGTTTAATTTCTAATTTTGGTATAAAAGCCAAAAATGTTTATTTTTCGTTTCTTCTATAATTTGTTTTATTTATTATACTGCTAATTATAATTATTTCCCCCCCTGTATTAAAATATACTGTTCAGTTTCGACGATCTATTGTTTTTTCCCTCCTATCTACTGTTCCAGTAAATTTTTGGTTTTAATTACATAATGACATATTAAATATACAACTTAGAATAGAATTTTTCTAGACGAAAATTCAGCAAATATGTTTATAATCTCAACATAATTTAAATTAATTGCAGTCGATTTTTCAATTGAAATTATAGACATATTTGTTAATCGTTGTTGCCCTACAGAAGAACGTAAATATGACTTCACAAGCTTAAGTTTGCTGAACGAACGTACGTGCAAACGAGCGGTTGTCACTGGGATGCTAAGAAATATTCTCAAGGCCGTCTGTATGTTTGGATTAAAATTTCCAAGGGACCCATCTCAATAAAATTTTCATACAGTGTTTTACTTTGGAATTTGAAACTTTCTATTTCTGATGTGAATTCGTAAGCATTTAAGTCACCAGGATACTTAAGTGCAAGATCTGTGGCTTGCTTTTTTAATTCATCCAAAGTGGTTGTCTCGATAGAAACCCCGTTTAGCAATCCAAAATCATCTGTTATCTCTTTTAGAGCCACAAATCTTTCTTCCATTTGTATGATGATTGTATCAAGAAAAATATTTTGCAGTCTTGATATTCTCAATAATATGCCTCTTCCCTTCTGTAGCTACCAGACTCATCAACTTGTTTTGTATGGTAGGGAAAAAATAGGTCAACTGACCTTTATTGTGAGCCTCAATGTGATCTTTAATGATACTGTCATAGTGGCTAATCAGTTGAATTGTGTTTAGAAATTTGTCACAATTTGAATGACCGATAATTTCAGAAGTGCTTCTCAGCGCATCATTATTTTTTATGTAATATAGAATGGAATTAAGTATTACCTTCAAAATGTGTCTCCACTTGTTTTTCTCCTTTTGCATATCTTTTAAAAACTGATTATCAATAAACCCACTTTCGAATGCCTTTAGCCGGATATAATTTTTACGGTCTCTTACCGAATTTTCGTGACTAGGCAACAATGGATTCAAATATTTCCAGTCTCTAAATCAGGTTATCCAAACACTATTTTTATTATTACAAAATAGTATTCATGGGAAGCAAAAAATTGAGTCTAGCTCTTTGCAATATATAATCCATTTTCTGGCTACTCTTTCGTCATTAACCATTATTTTCATTAACCACTGATTTTCAAATTTTCTATTTTCTATTATCGAACTGATGCGGCCCACTATCGTGCGCCCTTGCCCATCGTGCGCCCGTGGCAAATACCACCTTTGCCACGCCCTAGCTACGGCTCTGTTCGATACTCATGAAGTCGTTCAACGTGGTTGGCAGACGGTTCACAAAATTGTGTTTTAAATGCACCATGCTCGAAGGGGAAACAAGTCATAATTTTACATGCTGGAAATGAAAATGGCTTTGTACCAAACGCTTTGCTACTTTAAGTAAAAAATATCAATACAGCTCTGTTGGCTTATCACGAAGATATGAATGCAGCAGTTTTTAAGAACTGGTTTGGTGAACAACTTTTACCGAGTATTTTACCTAATTCAGTCATTGTAATGAACAATGTGCCATATCGTTCACGGCAAATTCACAAGAAGCCAAATAGTGGCTCCAAAAAAAATCAGATATAATAAAGTATTTATTACTATTCCTGCTTCCGTAAAAACAAAACCACAATTGTTACAAATTGTCAAAAGTAAGAATATTCCAATACAGTATTATATTGATAATTTTGCAAAAGATGGTGGTCATACTGTATTAGGCCTGGCAAACTGCTGACAAGTGGGAACTGACATTTTAGATATGGCAACCCTGTGGGCCTGACAGGGTCAATGATACAAATGTATCGTGTCGTTTGCGATTGGCCATATTACCTCGTAAGTACTCATTAATCAGAATCGGTTTGGTAAAAATGTATTTACAAACCCATATTCAGCCTTCGAATATAGTAAAGAAAATAATCACCTACATTTTTACTTCAAGCTTGTGTTTATTGTATCTATCTATTTCATTGACCTTGTCAAATCACCAGGCCTACAGGGTTGCCATAATTTTTCCATATCATAGCCTGTCAAAACCCACTGGTAGCCATTTTGTTTGAAGTGCCTAATTGAGGTTATTGTATACTTAATTCAATTGAATTAGTTTGAACTTAAGTTAAACAAAAACTCAGACGTAATAAATTAATAATATGGCACCTACCTTAACAAATGTGGTTTTGGAAAATATTAATG